TATATATATCTTTATCTGTAACTGTATTTGTAGTATACCCCAACTGCACTTAGGCAGCACTAAGCGTTAATGCTTTTGAATTTTTTTTTTTATTTGTTGTTAGTTTTTGAGTTTTTTCTCTAGCTAGTTTTACACTTTTTATATTTATTTGAAACTACTCGCTTGTTGCTCAGTGTAAAGTTTTTAGTTCAACTTTTAATCGTAGGCCTTTGGCGACCTTCCATCTCTCTCACACACTCTCCTTAGCTTGGGCAGTTTAAGTGTTTTGACTTTGGCTGAGCTGCTCGCTAAGTATGAATAATATAAATGTATTTTTTCTGGTTTTTTTTTTTCACGACTTTTGGGCCAGCCAAAAGTGCAGCTCTACATAATTAATTTTGTTTGTGTGTGTGTGTATTTTTTATTAAATATTTTTCAGGGTTTCTCAGTTCAAGCTAAATGTCGCAATTTGAGGTTAATTGGGTATTTCGAAATTCAATTAAATTTTGCATTGGGTGCCTCAATTTCTAAAGAAATAAAATAAAAGACATAAGTTAATACGAAATCATATTTGATCTCAGCTCTGACTCATGCATATGTGAAAACCCGATTATAAAACACCAAATCAAAGTTAAATTTCTATTTTTTGTTTCCTCTTCTTCTTCTTCTTCTTCTTTTTCTTTATACAGAATTTTTGGGCTTGACCGCAAATTTATGACCGACCTGTGCTTGGCTCATCCTAATGCCTTAATTTAGACTTTATTTTTAATTAATAATGCATTTTATATTATTGTTAATTTATTTAAAGCCGCTTAAATCGCTCTGCCGCATTTCTACCTGCACAGTCACGCATACAAATTATGCTAATTAGTTACAGCAACTAACGATTCGCTTTTTTGCCTCTTCGCATTTTTTTGTCCCTTTTATACAATTTAATTAAGCTTATTAAAACTGTCACTAACTAAAATACAAAAAAAATAAATAAAAAATAAAATAAAATAAAAGAGTAAAAAACGAGACAACAAATTCGTTTGGCATAAATACATATTTAATTGTAAATGCGGTACTTAATTTACGACTTTAATTAATACTGAAAAGCTATTTCAAAAAGTTTGCTGTCATTAACGAAAAACCCGAAAGGGCGACAAAAAAAAAACATAAATAAAGACAAATTATGTATGTATCTGTGTACATATATAAAAAACGATTACAAATTTCAGCGAAACACGCATAGAAAATTAATGTATTTAAAACTGAAATTTAAATATGCATATTTACGAAGTGGGCAAATGTTTTAATTAACTCACAAATCCGATCTTAGTCTGACCCCAAATTCATCCACTTGCAAGAATGCGAAAAAAGACGAAAAATGAATGAATGAATGGCACCAACAAAGCACAAAAACAAAAACAACACACAAACTGGTTGCCCATGCGTCGGCGTCTCGTCGCGCTTACACGCTCACTCACACGCTCGCGCGCTACATCTATGTCTGTCTCTGTTGCTCTGCTCATAAACTTGGGCTTTATGACCAGCCTCAATGCGACGCGGCATCCCTGTAATGCTCATGCTAACCCGACCCGCCTTCGTCACCTGCTGCACCCACACACATACACACACACACATGAGCAAACGTACTCCCGCACACATTCACAGACACCGTTTGTTAGACAGCTTCCTCTGTCGACGTCGTTGTCTGTCTTTGCTTTTCATTTTGCGCTCTACTTCAGTTTTTATCGCATTTTTTTGTTGTTGGCGGCGCTTGCTCTGCGTGCCTCTGTGTGTATAAACATATGTATGTATGTGTGTGTGACTTTATGTTTGTTTTTTTATTTGCTGGACTTTGTTTAATGCGCTTTGCGTCATTTCATTTTGAACAATTTTCGTGCGTTTTTACTGTTTGCATTTTTCAGCTTATATTTAAAAATAGCTAATCATCTCTGTGCATGTGTGGCTTGTGTGATTGTGTGCTTAATTTGATTTTGTATGCGCGCTTTGGGTGCCGTTTTATTTGCATGATTTTGTTTTTGTATTTGCTTTTTTGTATTTCATTTTTTCGCCTTTTATGTGTTTTTGGCTGGACCATTATTGAGTTTATTTATCTCTGTTGATGACTTTTAAATGGCACCTGCCTTGCCTTGACTATGGGCTGGGGGCTGTGGGAGATACCGTAATAAATGCCATACTCAAAACCAAATAAACCCACATATTAATTAGCATGTTAATACAGAAGAAAGCTGAAAGCAAAAAAACTTCTGCCTATACGAACTATTCATTCACCTACTGATTAATTACCGAAAAAAAAAATAAGAAAGACTCTTGGGCTACGTCGTCACACACCGGTGCTGAGCTCATTTCTATAAAAATAAAAATACAATTACTGAAAATAAAAATAATAAAAGTGAACACTTGAATCTTCAAGTGCTACACTTGAGGAACAGGCCCATTATCTTTGAAGATTTGCCTTAAAAATACAATCAACAGTCCACTGTAAAGTGCAGCTTTTGTTTCATTCCAATTTAGCTAAAGCTCAAGCACCTTCACACACACACATGCACTAACTAACATGCATGCACCCATAGAACATGACGACAACGACCTCGCACTGAATGGAAGTGACTGAAAGCGGTGGGCGGGAGAGGCAATAGATGGAAAAGACACAGACAACAGTGGGCAACAGCTGATATTTTGCGCACTTTCAATTGATTTCACTGTTTTGTCGTAACTTTTAATGACTGTCAATTCACATACGTATGTATGTACATCTACGGCACTCTAATCTATATTTGAATTAAAAGCTAATAGATTGCAATCATTTGTCAGACTAATAACAACATTCGAAGTGAACATATTTCTGCTTGCCTCTTTTTTTTCTCTTTTTAAACCAAACAAGATTTGATGACGCTGCTTTCTATATAGTATGCCATATAGTGCACATACAAACATATACATGCATAAGTATTACTATAATTGGAACTGTGGTCCACATAAGCAGTCGCGGCCAGTTCCTGTCTCAGTGTTTGTTGTTTTCTCGTCTTGTCTTGTCTTGACATGAGTGCGGACTCGTTTGAATTTAGGGCAGAGACTAAAGTGAATCATGTGAATGGATTCGCTTTAACCGAGTCACAAATCAAATGGCTAAACGAGTCCACTTTTGGTCAATGGGAAACGGATGTCGTTTTCTGCTTTACGCCTCTCGCTCTCTCTCTCTTTATCTTTCTTTATATATTTCTTACTTGAGTGAAGCATTTTGTTTAATTGAATCGACAGCTGTTTTATACATAAATAAAAAAATAATAATAAAAACAGAGATGACTAGCCCTGTTTTCTTTTAGCCGGATTTCCTATAAAATTCGATTTTGCAAGCAGGAAATTAGAAATTGAATATGTTGCGAAATACGTTAGGAAATTTGTCAAGCTATCAGACGAACGAAAATCTTTTAATTTAATTAAATGATATGATTTTACGGTTTATCGCACGAGCAGCTGAAAATGCTCTGCATGGCCGCATAAAACTAATCTCTGTAAACATAAAGCGCTCATTATTATTATGTGGGCTGTGCTCATAATTAACGACTTTGACTGCGACCTCCCTGCTTTTCAACCACTGTGCGTGCGCGGCAGAGCTGGAAAGTCTTCCATCAATGACAACAATCAATCACAGCGACAGACGGCGCGAGGGATGTGGAATGCGGGATGCAGAGGGGGAAGAGGGAGTTGACACCAAAACCGAGGCATAGCACGAGGCGAGCTAGAAATCAAATTAAAGCAGCTCACACAGTGACAACAGCAAGGCAAAATAAAATAAAGTGTAGAAGAAAAAAAGAAGAAGAAAAACTAGAAGAGAGGCGACAAACTGTAAAATAATCCAACAAAGTACCGACGGCAAATGCCGTTACTGTGCTCTTTTGCGGCAGTCAAATCGAATGCTGAACTGCAGCCTGGTCTCTCGCGCTCTCTACATCTCTCTGTCTCTCTCTCTCTCTCTCTCTGTCAATTGAAAACACAATTTGCTACATTTTAGTTTTAATTTGTTTTTTTTT